CAAAGGCCGAAAATTCCGGCTGCTGGAGGTGTAGCTTCGATTACTCCGGGTTCAGAGGCCGAAGCTACGGCTCCAGCAGCCGGAATTTTCGGCCTTTGAGCCCGGAACGGACGGTATGTCTATATAGCCCGTAATTGCGGCTCCCACAACCGGAGTTTTTTTTTTTTTTTTTTTTTTTTTTTTTTTTTTCAGTGCGAAATTAACAGTAAGATCCACTCCAGTGGCGAGGCTTGAACAATCGTGAATCGATATTTCCACTATTTTAAGCTGTGGTAAAGAATCGATCATGAAAGTATTCGTTGCGAACATCCTGTCTATCGATCCTTTTCTATAGGTTTAAACGGCAGATCGATCGATATATCGCAAAGCACGCCACACCACTATGGTGTACTGCTCTCGAGCTTCACGAGAGGACGGACGAGAGATGATTTATGAAACTCCGAACTAAGGAACTAATAATCGTCACAGCGAATCGTCGCGGCGCGCCGGCGGGGAGATGCACATTTGGTCTTAATTAGGAGTGAACCTGAGCGGTGCATCGCGTCTCGTCGCAAGGGCCCTACAATGAAATGTATTAATTAGCCGGCCCTCCAGGTTTGGGGCCACTTTCCTCGCCATCCATGACAGTCTTCCCGACGGTGGTGCCACAAGTCTTATCACTGTCTTCCAAGTTAATATGTCTATCGCTCGTTATTGAAACCGGATCAAAAGCTATGTGAAACCACGCTGAAAAGCCATGAAAAAACCAAAATTAGGCCATATGAGCTTAAAAGTTTGCCTTGAATTTTTTTTTGGAGGGGAAGCTTGGGCCCGTTTTTCGTCCCATTTTCGGGACAACACGACTCTCAAATTTTTAGGAGGATAGTAGGCTGATTATTGAAATTGGTAGACATAGCGATAGACAAAAAGAACGAAGAGAAAATGGAGCGATTCTATTGGTGAAAGCGGGTGGTGGCATTAGACAAAGGAAATTGGTGTTAGACGAACTAACGGCAACCTTTATACGAGAGCCTTACAGCTAGTCTTTCATTTCCCAAATTAGTTCATTACAGCCTCCTGTTTTAACCAATAGGATCGCTCCATTTCCTCTTTGCCTTCTTTGTCTATTGATTTGTCTATCAATTTTGATTATCAGCATGTTGAGGCCCCCCGATTCCCCATAGATATATGTTATATGCTGGAGTTGCATAATTAAGGAAAATGGAATGAATTTTTTTTCACGGAACATGGAAAACATATAAAATAATATGAGACTGTTTCAGTATTATCTCAGCCATATTCCCCGGGTTTTTAACCCCCTCCCCCTCGCGTAAGCCAATTCCTCAACCATCTCCCTTTTGAATTGCGTGAGACTGCTCATCCCCAATTTTCCAGAAAAAATTGGAGGAAACCTTAAAAAATGATTAAACAAATTATTTTTACCGACGAACAACGTGCGTTAAAAGTCAGCATAAAGCTTGACCCCCCCCCCCCCCCNGCGTGACCCGTGCATCTACCGCAATCAATTCGTGTCAAACTTCCTCCCTTGGAAACGAGAGTGAACTTTATTACGTTTTCTAAACACACGATTTTCTCAGAGCGACTTGCAGATCAAAAGCTGCCATGAGATCGGAGGTACTCAACTCTTCCCCAAATGTTGCAACAGCTCAGCACCCTCGGTTTAAGGCGCCTCCGGATGAAATGCAACTCACCGAATCTCCTCACTGAAACGACACCTACCGAGCTAATGAACAAGCCCCAACAACGATTAGCCGGAAACAGAATTCACCTCTAATTTCATTCCCTCGTATCCCCCTGTCACTATTCAATTGCTCACTTGACTCCTCCGCTGGTCTACGTCATCGTTGCCCGCCTCCCCCCCCCCCCCCCTCGCTCCACATGTGAATTGTTCTTAATTCGAACGGAAAAAATTGCGGTATAATATTGAGGTAGCACTGAGATATATTTATTTAATACAGGGCGAGTAGGTTCCTCGCCTCGTGTCAAGCGGAAGACTCTAAGGGACCCGGCTCCGGGACCGGTGAGGGGGTTGGGTTGGGGGGGGGGGGTTGATTGAATACCCCCAAGAAGACCGAGTTCGAGGGTCCACCTGTAACAACCTGAAAAATCGAGCATTATCAGGATATTTTTCTGGCGCCAGGGAAAACCTCGTAAAACATTGTACATCCAACTTTAAGTCAGTTTGCCTTCAATTTTAAGGGTAGGCAACACATGCGCCCACGTGGCCGGATAGTGGTATCGCTCTCAGATGTCACAATTCATTGCTCGGGAAAGAAATCAGGAATTATCAAACGTGGCGTGGAGGAGTGACTTAGTCTATTTTTCCCCTTTTTTTTCTCTTTTTTCTGAAATAATTTGCTATTTATCACTTTAAAATCAATTTGCGGGAAACGTTATATTCCAAAATTGCTGTATTCGTGTATCGAGGTCTTAATGATAAACTAAGAGTTAATGCAAAAATAATAAATGAATATACGTGATGATTTTAAAAAAATAATGAAAATTGATTCACAAAAGTGTTGCTTTTCCGTGTCAACACGAAAGGGCCGTATTAAGGGGGTGGCCACATAGGCCGCGGCCCATGGCGGCAAATCAAGGGGGCGGCAAATTTTGCACTTTTTTTTTAAAAAAAAATCGGATGTTGACAAAAAATTACAAATGAGAAAAGGCGACAAAATCTCTCATTTCCAGAGAGTAAAGTAATTTCTAATGTTGTCGTCTTTCAGTGATACAAGAGATAGCACCTTTAATTAGTCGAGTTGCGAGAGAAACCAAGCACGCAATTTGGCCTGGAACGGCGCGACTTAGAGAGAAATTATGACGAGGACTTGAGATGAAAAGGAGAAGCCCTCGGCGCGTCGGTCGGCGTGTAATACATATTAGCGCCTACAAGACTGCACGAATACTTCACGCATTGCATCAAACACAGTGCGGTCACTGCGGTCAGCGTGAAACGGATAACGCCTACAAGAAGCATGAATACTTCACGCATTGCGCCAAAGACAGTGCGGTCAACGTGAAACGCTTAGCGCCTACGAAACTGCGTGAATACTTCACGCATTGCGCCAAACACAGTACATATAGTCTGCGCGGCTCGGCGGCGGAAGTTAAAACCATTAAACTACATTTAAGGTGAAACCACCAGTTACAGACACCCGCAAAAATGTGACCAGTTATAGACACCCTTCGTCTAAATATGGTATTAATAAGAAAGAAGTGACTCGGTTCTTTGTGTGTTGTTTTTAATTCAACCCACATTCTCAAGTGAGTTGAATTAAAAACAACAACACAAAGAACCGAGTCACTTCTTTCTTATTATTACCATATTTAGAGGAAGGGTGTCTATAACTGGTCACATTTTTGCGGGTGTCTGTAACTGGTGGTTTCACCTTATGTTTGTTTTTTTATAATTTGTTCGTTCATTTCTTATTAGTGGAAGGCCTTGTCCACACAGATATAGGTTTACGGAACTTAACTTTTGCGCAAAGTTCCGTGAGCTTTTGCTAGTAGTGTTAGCAGGGCTTTCCCAAAAAATGTGTCCAACACGAGTAAACGGGTCTCATGCACCCCTCCCCCGCTGGCACGTTCACTTGATGGTTTTTATTGATATTTCAAAACGAATGAGATGGGGGCGGCAAAATACAGGCGGCCCATGGGCGGCAAGTAGGTAAATCCGGCCTTGCAACACGACCGGGCTCCTAATTTTCTCTAGGTTTGGCTTTGGCCTTTTTACTGAGAATGAGTTTTACAGCAATTCCAGTGCTTTTGTTCGTCATTCTCTTCTTTATCCTCCCTCTTTATCATCATTATCATGTGGACTACGGGGGCCGCAGGATATCTGTTTGGTCATCTTTTAAAAAATAAATTATATAAGCGGAGATTTTGAAACACCGCAACCGAGATGAAAATTCTTGTAATTTCACCGTGGATATGCCCATTTCTCTTACCTTATAATGCCTGTTTGCTTTGGCCATCATAAACGATTTGCAAGAGCGGTGCACCTCAGAAGGTTACAGGTGCAAATCTATCTGACACGAATCATGGTGATGACGAAATCCGTAACGGGGATAGAATCACGTCAGCTGTTTTGGCGGTGGATCCTATCAACTTCATACATTTTCCGACGTGAAGGCATAATTAATGATTCGACAAAGTATGTTTCGTGTGACACGATTGATAATGGCGCTTCTGAGTCGCCTGTACCCAGCTTGTCAAGTTGAGCCGGAAATTTTAATTATCCCCCTTTGAATTCTAAAATTCTAGGGTAGGATTCGTATGACGGGCGAGCAAAAAACCTTTAAATGGCTAATGTTCAAATCATGTGGTTGGTCAGTCTCGTTCAGTTGATAAAATAAGTCGACAGTCGAAATAAAAGTATTTCAATTTAACCACATTTCAAAAGATAGCGACTCTTATAAAACGCATTAATCATGTAAAACTCATAAGTTGGTTGCAAAAATAATGCAGTCATTTGTGCTTCTGTAATATCCTGTTGTGTTCATTACATTATGTTGTTGTAAACGATTGAGTTAGCAAGCATAAAATAGTAAACAAAATGAGTTCTGAAAAAGTACATCAACCGGATAAGTTCCTGTGAAGCGATCTGCATAATGAATAAGTTTAAGAGCATTGTAAAGGAGCTTTGTGTGAGTATACTCCTTTATCCGTATACCATACACCCTTAATAAGTCCGAAAAACAAAAGTGTTTTTAAAATGTCTTATTTTGATCTTTATACTTAATAAACTGAATATTGCCTGTGTAACAATTGTACCGCATTGTAAAATTCAAAAAACTTTCCTAATTTTTCGAATTATTAAAATGAGTCCTTGGAACAAAGTCAGAATGTTAGTAAGCTCACTAACTGGTTGCAGAAACGATCCGTTTCTGCACAATTCGTCAGCTATGGGAAATTCAACAGGAAAAATCAAATGCCAGACAACTCGCGATGAATTTTAATAAAAGTGCTACATGGTGGAACTTTTGCGCAGTGCACCCGTCTCCAACATCAGCAGTTCAGTACGCGGAATTGTCGAGTATTCGCACTCGTGTTTTGAAGAATAATAGGATCATGCACTATCGATCCACCCTTCTGGGTATATTTTCCGTGGCCGTTTTCATTCAAAATGTCAACGCTGGACTCTGGGGTAGAAGTTCAGGTATGCAAGCTTTGATTTTAAACTTCAGATCATACACACATCCTAAGAGGATTGACTTAAGGTGATTCTACGGACGCGATTTTTTGTGTCAGAGCGACGTGCGATATATCGCATCGATCCGCTCGATAATTTCAACTACTTGTCATTTTTTTGGAATTTTGAGATCCCACTTCTGTTGTCATGAGACTGAGGAATTCATGTACCAAATGTGACGAAGAAATTCAGCGTACTTAACGAATTCGAAAAAAATGACATGAAGCTGAAATTATGGAACGAATCGATGCGATATATCGCACGTAGCTCTGACACACAAAATGGTGTACGTCTATTTACCTTAATTAATTGAGAGTGAGAATGAAGGCTCATTCGATATACCAATCGAAACTTGAAAAACAAGATACACAAAGAAGGGACGTATACACAAAGAAGGGATATAATTCGGTCAAGGGCTCCAGTCACAGAGACGTGTTTTGATGATTTCAGTTTAAAGATCAGAAAATAATATTAAGATCGGTCCAATCGCTAAGTTCCTACGTCCACTATCAGCGGAATTATCGCTCTTTAAAAAAAATGAGCGCATGATCTCATCCACTGCGATAGTGCATACCATGGTTCTTTCCATCTTGGTTTATCCGACTTTCAAGTCGAGCAACTGGTGCAAATGTGCATGTGTATCGTTAATCGATGAATCCGAGGTGGAAGAAACCGTAACATGTGCTACCGCGGTAGATGACGTGCGAGTACGTCATACGCGGTGTTTCACGAAGGGCGACATCGCCGTTAACATTGGACGTAGAAACTAAACGTTTGGGCATACCTACTCATTTATTGCTGATCTATAAGCTAAAATAATTGAAACGCGATTCTGTCACCAACGCAACCGACCGATTGTAATTTTCAAAATTTTCAATTCTGTCATAAGTATGATGTAAAAGATTCCCAATAGGGCTCTATTACTAACGTATTTTTAACATGTAAACAGCAGCTCATGTAACACGCAGTTTTGAAACTTTAACTAATTCATCATATTTGGTCGATTTTAATAATCTACATATATGTCATGAATTTTCATAAATATCTGAAGGATTTTCCCCCCTCTTTTTTCCTTCCCTGGCACGTATGATCGCACCAGCTCATCAAAAATTGAGAACTAGAATAAATGTGCTTTAAAAATTGAAAAGCGTCCAAAAATTACGCCACAAACCCCGAGATGGCAGCCTAAAGAGGGGAGAAGAGAGTTTGACGCTTCGTCTGACTCGCGTATGAAATCGGCGAAAGAGGTTGTTCCATCCCCCATTAGATTTGGCCCCCTATCAAATATGATCCATCTTTTCAGGAGTGATACAGTAGCATGCGAGACGTTCAAATATGGCGGTCATTTTGACTTAGTTCCCCTCAGAGAGGGGGGGCGGGGGGTCAAAGACAAAACCTTCAACTGCCTATAACTTTTGAGCGAAAAATCGGATTGAGTTGAACTTTTTTGTAAATGAAAGATCTCAAAAAGATCTATCTGCTAATACCAGAAAAATTGAAAAAAAGTTAAATTTAATGCAAATTTTTAGCAATTTTTCAATTTTTTAGGGGACAAAATTTTCAATTTTGTCGTGTTTCGGCACCGCGCAATGACTCTACTAAAACCAAAACCAGTTTTTTAGATTCTACTCTCAATTTCCTATAAGATGCCAAAAACCGCATCTTGGGGAAACGTTTAGATCGCGAGCTATGGCTCGTCAAAGTTAGCCCCGCGCTGAGCGCGCGCCCCCTGCGCTGTTCGCATATCCTCTACGCGTCTGCCACCGATCCTGTTGCCCCTCCTTCCCCTTCCTAAATGCAAATTAACATTCTACTACCCAACTTTCGTATATATCTGCGTTATAGGTACGTGAAAGTTTCAGCAAGTTCGTGATTTCCAGTGGAATTGATGCTTTATTTCGCCCCCCCCCCCAAGAAATCTGAAAAGATGGATCATCCAACCAATGGAACCTAACCAAAAAGGAAATCCAAAACTAACAGAAAACACAAAATGTGAAGAACAAGAGAAAATATAAGGAACCAAACCTAAAATATTGATAATCAACATAAATAAAAATAAAGAAATAAATATAAAAACTCTGATTTTTATTTTATTATAATGATAAAAATTGATAAATTCAGTAGTTAGAAAGTGCAATAAAGATATATATAAACTTCTGGTTTAAGATTTCTGGTTCAGTTAATTTTGTTTCTTTTTGAGTTTTTTGTTTGTTTTATCCAAGCCTTTGTATTTTCTGTTTTATTAACTCTTTATTCTAGTGAAATTTAAAGTTTAGTTTGGATTCACCAAACTCTATTTTATTTAGTCCAAAACTTTAGTAAAGATCTTACTTTTACATAGTTAGAAGCTATGTTTTGAAAAGTTTTTATTATTTAAAATTATTAAATTGTTATTTATCTCTATATTGAAAAAATAGTGTTTTAGATAGGGGGCCAAATCTAATGGGGGATGGAACAACCTCTTTGCCGACTTTTAAAAATTATTTGAACGATTAAGTAAATATGACACAAAAATGTGATATTTCTCACGTGAAAAGGGTATATCTAAAAGAGCGTGATGTGAATATTCGGGAGGTGGAGAGGCTATGCTAGATGTATCATGGGAGGGGAGGGGGGGGGTATTTCGAAGGAGCGAAGTTCATGAAAATCAGGAATCAGGAATCCTCTTAAACATTAAAGCTCAGACTGCGCTCAATTTGCTGTAGCAAGGGAGACTTCGGCTGACTTTGGATTTGTAATTTATGGGAAAAATAGCTAGAAAGGTTGATTCATCCCAAATTTTTATTAAAATAATAATTTGATTAGAAATCAGTATCGATTTAATATTCAACAATATTATTAGAAAACTACACCGAATTAAGTACTGCCCTGATAAGTAGCAAATTACAGTAAAACGAAAGCCAACCTTCAGACTTACAAAAAGCAGCATTGGATACCATTGACCGTTGGGAGGCATAGGTAAGAATTTGGTAGATATTTTAAAAGGATTCTCGGACTTTAGTGGCTTTGTGATTTAGAAACTTAGCTTCAAGTAGATCTCACCTTTTTGCTTAAATCATAGGCAATTTGTATGCTTGCAGTTGATAATCTACTATATAGAGCAGTTGTCACCTCATCTTTCCCCAGAAATAATTTTTGAACTTTAAACTGTTGGTTAATTTTCAAAGATTAAATAAACATTAACGTTGAAGTTGCCAATGGAATATGTACAAAAAAATTACTCACGAGCATTCTGTCCTTTATTTTCCAAGTTTATTGCAGACGCTAGCTCGTTTTTGTAGTTCCTGATCGTTAGATCTTCTAGTGTCTTAGTTTTAGTGTTAGTAGGTATAATGTGTCATCACTGAAGAAGCCCCTCATAGGGGGCGAAATGCGTCTGCGATAAACTGGAGAAAAAAGGCCAGAATGCTCGCGAGTAATTTTTTTCTTCTTTTTGACATAAACAGTCTTGGATTTTAAATGATTGGTAATTGTATCATGATAAGTATAAAAGCGAAAAAAACTATTTGATTCTTTAATTAATCATGATTGTGTCCTCATTTTCTTTCAGCAGACCCTGCGCCCGAGCCACCTCGGAGGCGTAAAAATTTAACTTGTGTTCTCTTTTTTGGCAATGGAGCGTGTGCTTTCAAATGCAGATTGTTTGGACAAGGTGCGGAGGGCTACTGTGATAACTTGCTGTGCACTTGCAAGTACAATGATGTCATTTACGTCGAAGGAGATAACGGTTTCGAGCCTGTACCGAATTCGCTGGCTGGGAGGAATACTTTCATAGAGCCTGGAAGAGAAACTCCTGCGCCATATGAGGATGAAGATGCTGACGATTTGACACCAGAAGAAAATGAATTAAAAATAAAATTGATAACTATGATGACATTCTCACCAAAACATGGCTCAGAATTATGTCAGTTCTTAAGAGAGAACAATATAGACATCGATGACGTGAAAAACTTGAGCGGAAAGGAGCGGAAATTGAACGGAGGCATTTCGTATCAGCCTGTGACATCTCGAAGTCTTCAATCTGGGACTGACATTCTTACGCAAGGAAATAGTATAGCTACAAGGGTTCTTCAATCATTACCAGAAAGTTGTGAGCGACCTCTACGAGGCGGTCATTTTCCCGCGCCGAGAAAAAGCAATAGATCAAACGGTGGAACTCCTCCAAGGAGGGATTTGAAACATCATCCTAGGAGGCACATAGAAGATGATGACGAAGACGATGATGACGCTGACGACAAACTTTCGTCGAATTTAAGGTCAAAGCATTTGCCAACCCATCATGACCCTCATGGAAACTCACATAGCCCAAACAGACGGCAATTTACCCTGAATGCGGATACCATGCGAACACCGTCATTAAAAGTAACGACTCCAAAACACAAAAACGTAAAAAATAAAAGTCCTCCCAAAATAAGAAAAGTTCCGGAAAGACCGGGGAGATTCTCGTTCACGCATCCTCTTAAACGGTCTACAGATCTTCAATTAAACCATGTAAACCCTCAAAAACCGGAATTAAAAGATTCTCCGATTACACCACTACCAAAATACACGGTTCAACCTGCTGTTGCTGAAATATTACCAGCGGCACCTTCAAAAGATCCTGTTGCTGAGAATCTAAAAACGGTTGCTCCGTCTGAATCAACCGCTCCAAACCCTCAAGTGACATCAAGAGGAAAGGAAGAGGACGCTGCTCCTAAAATTGCTAAGCCAATGCCTATGAGACGCAGACGGAGGAAACGTCGAGTGACTCCATCCGTACCGACTCCATCAAAGTTGCCTCTGAAGGAACAGGATCCTGATAAAAAGACCTCTGAAAAATCTAATGCTGAGGAAGTATTGAAACCTCAACCGCAAGAGGAAGGTGCACCTCAGACGAGTCCAGAACAAAACTCCGACAAAAGTCCTGAAATTGTGAATCTCGAAGAGTTACCAACTTCAAAAATTGGAATTGAAAATCAGAGCGCAAGTGACAGCCCTGAAAAACCGGATGTAAAGACTAATGAGACGCAAGAGCGAACAGATGATAGACCGAACCAACTGTATGTTGACAACTCAAGCGCACCGGAGAATCCTGTGCCTAAACCCGAGGCGACAGAACCAGTCTTGAAATCTGTTACTCCGATAAGAAATAGGTTAGAACAAAATCCTCGGAAACCCTTAACTGTACAGATGAAGCCTCCTTCTAATCATCAGACTATGGAATTGTTTGACGGAAATGACACTGCACCTAACCCCGAGGTGACAGAACCAGTCTTGAAATCTGTCAATCCGATGCGAAATAGGTTAGAACAAAATCTTCAGAAACCCTTGACTGTACAGATGAAGCCTCCTTCTAATCATCAGACTATGGATTTATTTGACGGAAATGACACTGCACCTAAACCCGAAGCGACAGAACCAGTCTTGAAATCTGTTACTCCGATGCGAAATAGGTTGGAACAAAATCCTCAGAAACCCTTAACTGTACAGATGAAGCCTCCTTCTAATCATCAGACGATTGAATTGTTTGATTCAAATAAACCTGAAGTTGACAGTGATCCTTCGAACGAAATGATGCCACAGGATGCAGCCAATAACCAGACAACTATGAATCCTCCGGATACCCAACCAGTTGTTCCATCTTCGTGGGCCTGGCCTTGGCCCTGGTTCAAGGAGCCACCGGTGAAAACGTCTGAAGATTTGCCTGAGACCTCACCGTCGTCAGATGCTGAACCTCAGTCTCAGGAGAAAATACCTGATCCTGTACCTGAGAAAGATTCGGAGAGATCAGACGAGAAAAAACCTAATCAGGAAGAAATTAGCCAACCATTAATAGGTAGTCCAAATACTGAAGATAATCCAGGTGATCAAAAACAGCAGGAACCTCTGAAAGAAGAGGCGAACAATGAACACAGTGTACCTGTGGAAGAAGAAACAGAGGGCAACCCGTCATCTCAACAGGGAGAGACTTTTGCCACTCCTCGTGAGTCATCCTTGGTATCGGAGCATCAGCCTGAATCTAATCATGAAGTGGTTGACACACCAGCGGAGAAAAAAGCGAGTGACTCAGATTTTCAATCGGCAACCCCTGACGAGTCAAGTCTGGCTCATAATTCTCAGGAGCCAAGTTCATCAAGTTCAGAACCGAAAGAGCAAAATCCAGAGGAAGTCGGCGACGTTCCTAGTCACGCAAGAGAGAATTCCTTGAAATCCCCTGAGAACTTCAACATAGAAGACAGTCGTAACGATGGGAAACTGCCTTCAGAAAACGAGGATTCTACAAACCAGCAGCCGCCTGAAGATCTCGACACTAAAGACAGCCATATCAAGGAAAAACAGGGACAGTCCTCGGAGAAGGACCAAAATAATCCGGAGACAATTCCCGAAAAACTTGAAGAGGAGGCATCACCAAAACCAATCGCATCGTCTGAGACTCCATATGAGGCACCCTTGTCATCCGATAATCAGCCTCTATTTCATGAGAAAGACACTCCTTCTCTAAGAGAGGAGGATGCAATTGCATCGGGAAATAAAACTTCAACTCCTAATGATTCTGATTTAGGCACCACAAATGATAAACCGAGTCAAACAACTCCAGAGAGAATAAATGGGTCAACGATGGAAGCTCTCGACAAGCAAAATGAAGATTTTGTCGACAGTCAGTCACCTAAAAATCCAGACGCTGAAGCCAGTCTGGTTGATGAGCAGAAAGAGCCCTCAAGAAAAGAGGAGGTGGATTTGGATCAAATAAAAGAAGCGACCGGATCAGATGACTCATCAGATTTGATTAATCCTGGACAGCCTCAGCAAAACTCTCGATCCAAAGATGGATCGCCCTTGAAAGAGTCTGACGCTACTGATGAAAACAAGCAAGATTCTGAAAGTCCTCAGCCCCCTGAAAGCCCCAACACTGCGATCAGCTCTGATGAACCTATAAAGAAAGAGCTAGATAAGGAGGATGTAGCTCAAAATATAGAACCTGAGAGTCATTCATCTGAGCCTGATACACCTATTGAGTCATCGTTATCACCTGGTATTCAAAATATACCGGAGGACAAGGACTCTCAGCCACGAAAGGAGCCAGTCAAATCGGATACACTTTCCTCAACTCCTGACGAGCCAAAAGCAAGTAATGACCTCAAAGAATCTCCTCAACCAAGTACAGAGCCTAGTGTTGTACCACCCCCGAAAGATACTGATACCACTAAGGATAATCAAGACTCCATACTACCACAGTCTCCTACAAATGACGACACTGGCACCAACCCCAATGCCGAAGAAGGTCGTGAAAATCCTTCAGGAGATTTACCAGCCAATAAAGAAATACCATCGAAAGAAGAGCCTGAGGTTCAGTCATCGTCTGGCCTTCCACCAGTATCTGCATTGCCTATTGAGTCATCTTTGTCATCGCCAAATATCGTATCTCACCCTGAGGAGCAGACAAGTGAATCTCAGAAACCGGCGGAGGAATCGACGGACTCAATAAACCCAAAAGCAAATTCTGAGTCAAAGGGAGATACACCGGAGACCCCTGAGTCTCAACCCAAAATCAAATCCGAGGAACACCCGAGCAAGAATTCAGACGCAGCAACTAAGCCATCTGAAGCTCAAGAGGAGAAAGACACTGGAACTGAGAATAGATCACAACCTCCTCCCAGTGAGGATGGAGACATTACAGAGCCCGAAGAGGAAAAAGTATTAGAAGAGTATGAGGACAACGACTCTGATAATCCAAAAACTCAAGAGTTGAGAGACACTGGAACGAATAAATTACCATCTCCTTCTAGTAAGAATGAGGGATCTAACATCGCACAGCCTGACGAGGAAAAAGTATTGAACGAGTTTGAAGATGACGACTCTGAAAATCCAAACGATCCGACAAGGCCTTCGAAGCGAGCGGCAAAACCAAACGCTGAAAAAATTGATGACAGTATGAACAACCCTTTGAAGAATCCTATGACAAACGAGGATAATTCTGCAAATCATGATTCAAAGCCTATAGAAACACCAAAGACGCCAACGCAAGAAGAAGAAGAAAGAAAATCAAATCCAAATGACGCAGAGATCAAGCCCGAAATGAAATCTGAGGCAAGTGATGAATCGTCTAGACCTGTGGAATTGCCTGCCTCTTCTGATGAACCATTGTCATCGTTGGATATGCCGCCCCAACCCGAGGAGGAGAAAATCGATACCGAGCCAAAGGGGGATTTGAACTCGGATACAAGATCTGGGTCCGAACAGGATGGATCAGAAACGCCAGAGCCCCAACGCAGAGTGGATTCCGACGAAGGTGCTGAAAAGGATTCAGACGCAATACCAGAGCCACCTGTGACTCGAGAAGTTGGGGGTACTGGAGCTGAGAATGAATCACAACCCGCACCCAGTGAGGATGGAGGACCTAGCACCTCAGAACCTGAAGAGGAACATATTGAAGAGGAACAGGTAATAGAGCAATTTGAGGATAGCGACCCTGAAAATCCAGATGCTCCGACACAGCCTCTGAAAGAAGAGGAAACACCAATCACCGAAAAAGATAGCAGTATCGGGGAATCCTCAAAACAACCTGCACCTAATGGAGGAAGTACTCCAGATCAAGATTCAAGTCCAAAGGAAGCTCCAAAGACTCAAGTGCAAGATGAAGCAAGCAGCACAAATCCTACTGATGCCAAAATCGACGAGAAACCCAAAGTCCAGGAACCTGTTTTGAGTGAAAAAAAAGCTGAGCCAGTACATAATGAAGAGGATGCGGTAGATCCGGAGCATCCTCAAATTGAGCAAGAACAAGAGGTACTAGAGTACGAAGACGACAGCGAGAGTGATGCCAACGCTCATCCTCTTACCGCAACAAAATCTTTGGGTCCCTTAAATGAAGAAATTATCCAACCTAAAGAAGTAGAAATTCAGCAGAAACCTGATGTGGAAGAGCAGCCTGAAGAAATTGAACACGAGGAGGTAATAGAAGACTTTGTCGAAGATGGAAGCGATCATCCATCTCCTGCGGACGTGGGAAGCAACGCTGACGAGTCTGATGACAAAATTAAGGATCAAGATATTCCAAAGGAGGCGGATGAAGAAAATAAAGTAGGGGAACCAATTGAATCAGTGAACAAACCCGAAGAAAGTGCATTTAATAACCCAGAAGAATCCTCAATTCCTGAAACAGCTGAAGAGGACCCAAAGGAAGAGGCTTCCATTCCTAAACAAGAATCCCCTACCGTGGAAAACGCATCTCCTGCTTCGAATAATTCTATGGAGATTTTAGATGAATTCGTACATGAAACCTTCATTGATGACGAAAATGAGGATCTTGAGCAGGATAAGGATGGTAAGTTGAATGAACTTTCGGACGAAAGTTTACCTCAGAATAATGCTGTGACGCCGGAAAATCAACCCGAGGAAACTAAGATGTTAAATGCACCAAACAGAGAAGACGATGAAAATAAAATGGAAGGGACTTCGATGAATAATGATAAAGAAGTTCCCGATGACAATGAAAAAGAGGAGATTCTACACGAGTTTGACGATGAGGAAGAAGTTGATGATGCCGAACCCCATGAAGAAAAAGGATCGTCATCCCCTGAATCAACTCCTGAAGCACCAAGAAATTCTTCAAAAAATGAAAATACTTCTCAGTCCCAAGAAACAAGTGATGCTTCACACAATCTGGCGCCAACAAAATCTGATCCCATGGGTGATACCGCTCAACCAGAAAACCCTGCAAAAGAGGTAGATAATAAGAGTGCTTCCAATTCTGACGAAGAGACGGTACTAGACGAATACTCCGAACAAGATCAAGAAGTATCCACCGAGGACTTGGAAGATGTTTTTTCAGGGCTTACAGGTCTTGCAGTTTTGAAAGAATACGTACTGAAATCATTGAACAAGTGAGATGCGACGAAGACATCTTATTAGACGATTGTTGTACCCAAATTATCATTGAATGATACATGTATTTTTAATTTCTTGCGATGTATTATGTATTCATATATTTTTATGAATAAAATAAAAAAAAAAAAAATGCCAAGGGTCCAAAAATAAATCCCGAAAGAGGGATCCTAAAGAGGGAGTTACACTGGCTAACTGTACTGTCCCAGCATACAAACTTCTATTTATTCCAATAAGATGGCAGATTCTGATTTAAGAATTGTTTATTTAATTGATAATTTGCGCAAGTCCATAGTATTATGTGTAGAATTTGGACCGTGAACTGCATGTCACTTGTTGCGTTTGTTCCCGAATTAATACTTTCAAAGAATGAAATACTCTTGCATTCCATTTTTTTCAATATCCTTGTATGCCCTGAACTTGGAGATTAGGTTAAACCTAGCACATTTCAGCTTGTTGCGCCGTTCAAAGATGTATGCGATTATCAAGTTTAATTAATTCGGAGGTGAGATCTGGGGACCTTTCTCTGGACATGTTCAAAAAGTAGTTAAATTTTTCTGATTCATAATCACCCATCAAAAAAAATTTTGGATGGAGCGCGAATAGCATATTATATAAGACTGTAGCATTTTACCGCTTGTACATTACAGCCTGTGTCCATCGACGAGCACATCAGATGACCGATGCTCTCCAACATTATAACTTATGTACCCATGCAACCATAAACCTACATTCACTCCCTTCTCCGATTGCCTGTCGTTATTATCTCAATTTGTCCTTTTCTCTCAATTAAATCGATTCCTGGTAGATTGATGTTAGACCTTAAGACCAACTTTCACTGGGAGACAAAATACAGCTTTTCTTGACAAGCAGGGTGACTAACAATTTTTTTCAGTATTCAAAGGATGGGTCTCAATCTGCATGAAATCTCTAATTCTGTATTTTTTCCATTCTTTATTTTTTAATTTTTTTTTTGGTGGAAATATGTTCTGTACTATTGTATGCTAATTTGACTTGTACATCATCGCCCTTTTCCGAGAGAATGAAGAAACGCTGAAACATTTTTCAGTAAAATGCGAGTACTGAACGTGAGTTTCGGAGAGTTTCGGCGTTTCAAAAAGGCATACAATTTAAATAAAGACAAAAGGTTAGAGGCATAGCACTTTTTTCACAAATAAATTATCACAGAAAAAAAGGAATTGAAATTTTGGACTCACGCCCAATTATCACAAGTCGATCCATCTCTATTGAAGGGGGATTTTGCATAATGTGTGTACTCTTTGACGTGCCCTTCAGCAAGTAGATTGCAGATTGTGCAACGAATTCCGAAGGTAGTTTTGTCAGAAAATACAGGAATTTAACATATGATTAGAATTATCTTTATTTATATTTTACATTAGATGAGTTCAAATACTGCAGCATCTCATGTTTTTTCTGATCCTTGCGACGTTCATCTTGTTTGTAAACAAGAATCTCAGTGAGCAGAATAGTAATTGAAACTGTGACTGCGATTAAATAAAATATGACGATTCCTGCTATATGGTTCCAGCAGGCAACACCTGAGAACCTGGGTGCTGTCGTATGAGGAATTCGTCGAGATAAGTACTTCCGATGTAAGTAGTCCATGATACCAGATCCATACAAATTGAATAATCTGAAATCAGCGTACAACATGAGAAAAAACAAATGTCTGTACGAATATTTTTCTTTAAAGCATGATTTGATATCTGGGTTCAGGAGACAGTTTTTTTAAAATATTTTTTTGGTTATTTAGGCTATTTCAAATTCAAGCTATAGCGGATTTTTTATTTCACTCTCTTTCTGAACTTTACGTCATACCAATAGGGTAAAACAGTTAATTATTTCGAGTAAAATGTTGAAATAAGTGCTGCAAAAATAAAATGACATTTTTTAAATCACCCTCTGGTTCCTTACAATCTGAAATAAAAGAAAATTTAACATGTGCATGAGACTTCTTATTTTTTCCACATTACCTATAGTGAACGATAGTTTCCTCACCATATTAAATTTTAAGAAATTATTTGCGCTTTTTGACACAAATGAGCGTTAAATTCTAACTGTGAGCCAAACAAAATTCCAACTCTTTAATGTTTAAAAACTTATTTTCTGAGACGCACATAAAGTTGATATGATTTATAGGTAACTCGATTTTTACAAACTTTTACTCAACTGTCCACGATACCCTTTAATAATCTCCCAACACACCATCAACGAAACTGTTTTTGTTGGCAGTCACGTAGGCGACGCCAATCATTAAAACTAATGACGTCAACTAACGGTGAACACTGAGTCATCAACTTGTAATATAAGCCGAGGCACAAAGGAAGATTTTTTCGATTGGAGACCAGAATTTCTACAAAAAAGCCCAGCATATCCTCATGGAATATTGTTGAGAATCGTTGTAAAAATCGCACCGCTCATTGAGTGTATTGTAAGAGACACATACTAGATACATTAAGAAATACTTATTGTCAAACACAGTCAGCCTCGAAACGTCGAAAATCGTTACAGAAATCATCGAAGATAATTATCATTTGTTTGGTGTAGTGCCTTGGTCAAGCACGGAGATAGGAGGTCTGAACAGAACCATAAGAACGTCCTTAACTAGATGGAGCAGCCATCATCCTAAGGCTGCGAGATAGAGTTAGTCAACCTTAATTTACGACTTGTACGAGAGGCATGCCATAGGCAGATCAGTATGCTTCGGAATAACTTCTAGAGTAAGGCGAATAGTCATGTGCATGTTGCAGCTTGCATGCGGCATTGATGCGTCATGTGCGTCCATTTGAATTGCCAGGAAGATCTGCCGTTTGACATCCTACCCAAAGAAGGTGGAGGCCTGGGCAACCAAACCTTCGCATGCTCGTCACGTCAACTTATCGGAGTAAGAATTTCACTGAGGATAATTCATATCAATGGATCACAAAGAGAAAGCTTCATCCTTAGAGAGAAAAGATTGCCATTGCCACGGAGGACCAGGTAATTGGTGTGTGGAATCATGGAGAATATATCATGGACGAGATACACAGGAGTGATGATTGCAGACGATGTATTAAGGCCTTTAAGGCAATAAACCTTCTCCGCCGGTGAACCTCATCAAATATTTAGAAGAGTCCCAAACTTTCAAATAATCTCCTTCATACTATACAGAAGTCCGTGATTTTTAACAAGCGTAGTACCTATAGTTAAAGGTTCGACCCATTTTGGGTCCTTAATACCGAAAGAAATTCCGCGAAAAAATAAATAAATAAGTAAATAAAAACTAGCTGAGTTGAGTTATGAAGTGTTTGACAGAAGAATTAAGTCAGTGCGGAGGGAAAAACCTCGTGCATGAAACCCAAAGTTTAGATCTTATAGATCTCTAAAGTTTCCGGATCGTGCATCTGAAATCACCCTCATATGGCCTGAATTTTGGGTCCCCTGCACTGGATTTTTTTTCTCCGTAAGTAACCTTGTTGTCAACTTGAATCTAGATATCCCTATCGGCTTACAGAAAATCAAGAAGAACTATCAGAACGAAATCCGGCATCACAGACCCAAAATACAAAAACGAGAGTAATACACGGAGAAAGAAACTTCGTGCGTGGGACCCGAAGTTGAGATCACGGATCTCTGAAGTTCTCGGATCGCTCGTCACAAAACTTGAGATTCAGCTGCTGAAGTTCCGGTTAATAGTCTGAAGTACTGCGGAAAATATCGAAAGGTTTGGGTCACACATCGAATGTACTTCGGTACTCTGAAGGACATCAGATATTTGACCCAAAATTTTGCAGTTGGACCTCAATTTTCCGGATGCGCGATACGAAATGTTCGGAGATCCATATGATCTCAACTTTGGGTCCCACGCTTGAAGTTTTTTCCTCCGTGTAGCATGGCATTGATCATCATGCTAAAAAAGGAAAAAAATAAAAAAAGAAATAGTACATTTTATTGAAGTGGTGCCTGTATCGAAAATGTTTCTTCATTAGAACAGTGGCAGTTGCTCTGGCATAGTGTCCGTACAGGCGAGTTATGTCGCAGCCGTTCGATCGATTGTAATCTTCAATGATTTTTGCAACGATATTCGGTGTCTCGAGGATGAGAGTGTTGTCGTAGCACAAAGCTGCGGCGACGTCTCTAACAGATGTTGTGTTTAGACATGGAGGCTCGTTCACCAAACCTTGCCACTTTTCCAGTAGTTCCTTGTCTTCTTCTCGTTGCTGAAAACAAAATGACATATATTTTTGAATTTAGATATATTGGTCTCTATTGAGAGCGTCACGTCATATCGACGGCGAAACCACCAGACCATGTATCTTGTTTTCGGTGTTTGAAAATCTCTGCTTCCATTTTATTTTTTTAAAGGAGAGCCACCCTGGCAAAATTTGGCGATAAGAGCTTCGTTTCAAAATACCATTGGAATTCTTATAGCCGGCTAAAGAAGGCTACAGAAAATCATATAGCTGGCTGTAGAATGCGGAGAAAATCATACGGCCGGGCTATACGAAGCGATAAAAAATTATGCAGCCGGGCTATAGTTCCTATCGCCGGGCTTTACACTTTATCGCCTGACTGTTGCTTTTTCACCATCGATTATAAAAGGCTATCAGAAATTGTGTAGAAATTCGTATGCTTTGGAAATCATTAAGTTTGATACGGATCCACCTTAATATTTACAAAACACACATTATATTTTCCTTTAATACATATTTTTTTTTCATCAATTAAAACGAGAATAATCCATACATGGATGTGCAAACATTTCAAAATCATGAGTTGAATAACGCTGACTCCGCTAGATTATATATTAGAGCCTAACACAAAGCGGAGCGGCGCGGCGACGCACTGGCGCCTACAAACCTAACAGGGATACTTCACGCATTGCGCAACGCGTGAAGTATCCCCGTTAGGTTTGTAGGCGCCAATGTGCGTTTCGCGCTGGCTGCCCACCTGCCACGGCGCTTGAAGCAACTTTTTCACACCAGAGGTATTGCACAGTATCTTACGAAACTGAAGGCGCTCTAATATATTAGTAATGGCAGGCATCCATCAAAAGTACGGAGCTTTCCTCGCAAAATAAATCAGATACTACGGCCCAAAAAGAGAGCAGTGGTCCAAAAACTCACTAAATCCCAGCATCCGTAATTAATAACGTTTAGCATACACTTTATCGCCTGGCTGTTGCTCAATCGCCATCGGCTATAAAAGGCTGTAAGAAATTGTGTAGCCGGCTATAGAAGCTATTGGAAATCTTACAGCCGGCTGTAGGTCTATGGTATTTTGGAACACAGATTCTACTGCCAATTTTTACCAAGGCAATCAACATTATTTCTTGAAATTTTCACAGAGTTTTCTTCGTATTGAGAGGAAAGAATCTGGAAGTTTTCAAGAATTACCGTTGATTAATTTTCAATTTAAAAATTAAAGTATGACAAGAAGTCTACAACGTCGCAAACCGAGATTCGTGGTCTATTAGTTTCACCGGTAAAATAGTGAAGCATCAGCGGCTCGTAGCGAGACACTTTTCTAGCAGGAGATGCCACTGTTTTGATTTTTGTGATTGTGTTAATGAAGTTCGTATAGCTTACAAAAATAGTCCTTGATTTGACGCGGACGTTAAAGACAGCTCTGTCAAAATTGATGAGTCAAAGGAATATCCACTAAAAATAGTCAAGATTTCCGGTTGCATCAGCTGATCGCCGAAAACACTCTCTAAATACGCCCGAAAGTTACAGCGTCTAGTGAATTTATCTACCGGAGGTATTCAGCAGCTGATTGCGGGAAACACTCTCTGATTATGCGCGAAAATAGCGGCAAGTGAATATTTCCTGGAAATGCTTAATATTTCCGGTGAATGTTCACTTGACGCTAATCAATACTAGGATAGTGAGGAATACCCATCTTCAGAAGTCATCTAAACAATCTCATACCCGTGTATTGATAGAATAGATGAGCGTAAGCACTTGCAAACTAGAAAATGTCTGGGTATTGATGTCATTCAATTTTCTGGTGTTGGATTACGAGTACCTTAAATTGTACGTAAGCGAAGCTATATCTGCGGACGCATATGATATGTGTTTTGGCCTCGGCAACTGATTCCAGTGAAGGGAACGGCAAAGTGGTTCGACCCACCGCAAGTCTTGAAATCAGGACCGATGAGTAGGCGTTGTACATGAGAAGCCCAAAAAAAAGCGTTACCAAAGTTGCAGTTCGAATCGATGGTGAGTTGAGCTTCAAACAATTACCTGATGATTTTGTTGCAGAAAGAGGATTAGTTGAAAACAACATACATATTTCAGTACATGCAATATAAGACGGCGTAACTTTTGAATAAATATAACTTATTTTTAAGTGATGGGATCGCAGCAATGTGGAGACAAGCCGCGGTAAAGAGGTAGCTGTGTAAGTTTGGTGAAGTTAATTGAGACCATAAGCCGCCTGGAATTTTACCATCGAAAGCATGCGTAGAATGCTGCAGCCGGTGAGAAATTGGAAGAGGGAAAAGAAATTATTGAGTGTGCAATTCCAGTGTTTTTTTTTTTTATTTGTTTGAAAAGTGCCAACTTTGGAAAATGAAATTTTAACTACATAGAAGGTGGGAAACGAGTTTTTTTTGCTAAAAACTCATTTTCGAAAAAAATCCGACTTGGCACCTTTTCGAGATTAGCACTTCAATTAAAATTACGGCAATTTGGCTTAGAAATCAATTTATTCTACCATGACTTTCACTTTTCTTTTAAATATGATGCTTCCAGGACTTCAAGTCCACCTACCTTTCGTCCATTAAATAAATGTTCACAGCTATTTTTGTCCACTAAACGTTAAGTCCAGTCTTTATTAAGTCCACATGATTTAATGTCCAACCATGAATATGTCCAAAATTGTCCAAATTGTGGACATATTATGCCCACATTTTTTTCTTCTCATTTAAATGACAGGAACCACCTCAAAAATAAATGCTTACTACTACTACCTTCATTCTTAAAAACATTTCATTCATGAATCAAGTCATGAACGAGAACAGACTGTAAGAGCAGATAAAAACATATGTTCATGTGTACACTGTTCGGATATGATAAGATGAAAACCAAAGCGGGAGCCTAGGAAATGCTCCAGTGCCAAATTAAACATTTTTCAGTAACAGATGCAGTCAAAATTGAAAGTCCTTTTTGACTAGTTATTTCGTGCGCCTTCAATCTTGTAGGATACTGTGCAACGCCTCTGACGCGAAATAGTTGCTTAAAGCCTTGCGGCGCGGCAGTCAACCAGCGTGACTCGCGCATAGGCGCCTACAAACCGAACGGGATACTTCACGCGTTGCGCAATGCTTGAAGTATCCCGTTAGGTTTGCAGGCGCCAGTGCGCGTTCTGCGCTGCTAACACGCCGCTCCGCTCTGTGTTAGGCTCAAATATTTAAACTCAAGGAGTCAGCGTTTTTCAACTCATGATTTTGAAATGTTTGCACTCTCTGCATTGAATATTCCCTTTTAAACTGATGAAAAAGAAATATTTACTACTGAAAAATATAATGTGTTTTTTGTAAATATAATAGTGGTTCCGTGTCAAATTTAATGATTTCCAAAGCATTCAAATCTATTATTTTATGTTTTGGGCTTTTACTGTGCTGCAGCGTGGTGCAAGCGCAACCAAACGCTCAAAATTGGAAGTATTTGATTCATGGAGGTCGATGTACAAATAAGTTAAAAACAAAAAATTGCGTGCTTCTTAGTTTTTTTCTTCTTTTATTAATTTTTGTATAGTTTCTTTCATCACAACTACGGCTCATTGAGATTCATATCGATGCCATTGCTTGGAAAAGGTTTTACAAATATTTACCATGTTTTAAAAATGTAAATGTTTTTAAAATGAAGTAATCAATTTCATTAAAAAAAAGAATATACATTTAAGGCATATTTTATATCGGAAATTTCAAGGATAGAAACGAAACCAAGTATTTACCAAAGACAATTTGAAAAGATGAATCAAAAGAAGAAATTAACATTTCATTTAAAATATGAGTTACGATAACAACACCTCATTCTCTCTTAATTTTCTCATTTCGATATTTTCAATATAATTTTACACACGGACTAAAATATGACGCTTGAATTTGATTTTAGTGGACTTTACATGTGTGGACTTAGCTTAGTGGACGTTTAAGTAATGGACTTCACAATAGTGTGGGCCTTAGAACTATGGACGTAAAAATTGTGGACGAAAAGTCTGTTGACGTAAAAAAAGTGGACATAAAGTCCGTGTACCAATATGATTACTAGCTATACTTCAACGGAGAAAGCTCGATTCTCAAAAATCACATTCTTTGTATAATGCTTTTAGCCTATTATCGCTACTGATGAGGAACATGATTAGACATACCTTGATTAGTTAAAGCTCCTAAAACGAACAAGAAACTAGAGCCTACAGAAGATACGGAAACCAGTTCATTTTTGAGGGTATTTTCGGGTTCTGGTCCTTTTGATGCCCATCTCCTGTAACCGCGCCAAAAATCCAATCTGGTTTGCCAAGCTGGAGGTGTTTTTCCGCGATTTCTTTCAAGGCGTAGCCTGTATCCCGTCATCATTTAAATTAAAAAGACGATTAAGCTTTCTGAAATATTATTTTCAAATTTAACGAAAGTTTCTGTACAATCATTAGTAACTTTTGTTCTCAATTGATACATTTGCAAATATGTATTTTTCCAATTTCCTGAAAATAGTTTTAACATGGGGTATTAAGTTTTATGAGAATTCATAAATGTACTTGTATAGTTATGAAATGAAATGCAGCCTCTTGGTTCGCTTCTTTGATTCAAAAGTTAAAACTTTTAATACATTTGACATTGTCATTATTCTATTTTCAGAAAGGTTGAAATGCCATTGTTTACGTCTCAAAATTATGGTGCCTTATGATTGACACAAACTACTGACCTTATATTTACAATAATCCAGAGCGTAGCAGTTAGAATGCAGATCGTCAGTAAGAAAGCGAACCATAAATTTCTACTCCACGTGACTATATAAGACATCGATGTTGCTCCATCATCACTTGACTTCATAAAGAGTTCATACCTATAAGCACAATGGAGATGGTGCGTGAAATAATTCATCTATGAAACGCACATGCTTAAAATTGCATTAGACCTTTTTGGACTAGAAACCATGATTGCAATCAGGTCTGTCAAAGAGGGAGAGAGAGAACAGTGCAATTTCATTAATAGAAAATAAACGAACAAGTTGTTTAGGTACCCGTGCTTTGAACTAGCCGTTACCTTAAGCGCTAATTACTGAACTTTAATGCAGATAATTCTTAATTACTTACTAAGAAAAAAAATTACTTCTAAATATTAAAAATGAGTAAATGATTAAATAAAGGGGCGCAGCAAGGCAAGGAACATACATTGAACACTTGTTTCACTGCGTGTTTCTCATTCTATCAAATTCGAGTTCAAGATATTTGATGGCAATTTTAGCGACTTAAAAACACGAATAGTTGCTAGCAGTCGCTTCGTCACCTATGCTTCGTCTCAAAATGGATCGAGTCAATAGGAGGTGTCGGACAAAATAGAATTTGAGGTTTTAAAAGTGGTTTCATTGGTTTCCTTGTAAACTTTTCTTTCAGAACCACCCAATAAAATTTAAAATATGACGAATTAAACATCAAAATTTGCAGTTTTAGTTACAAATTTCATGTCCGAACTCTCTGATTGACTCGATCGACTGTGCGTCGTGGCAAGGAGGACACTAAAAGTATTCTACTATCTTGAGAATGTTGCTGAAAATAGCCACGACTATCCAAAAAAGATTATGGCAAATTAACGGTTCCATCATCCAATGACTGTATTCTTTAAATTAATATAATCCTCAGCTCCTAGTTTGACTAGGTGAAGAGAATCGTAACGTAAAAGGAGGAAGACAACGATAAACAGAAAATTAGGAGAAAGAAAATCAATGGTATACTTACCATATTTTCACGATAGGAATGGAAAAATCTATCTCATCAATGTCGGTGGTAGTTATTATGACAGGTGTTATGAGGAGGTCAACGGAACCATTTTTAATCAACTCCTTGCCGGCATCAAAACTATGCTTTTGAAACTCAGCTCTGAGAAATAAATAAGACTTATAAAAAAATTTATATAAAAAAAAGGTTTTGAAGAGAGGAGTGGAGCTCAGATTAAGAATTCTAGTTAATGTTTAGCGCTAAGGCCGCGAATAGGATATACTTTTTCAAAAAGTAGAGGAACAAGTAAGAAAAAGAGGGACAAAAGGGGAAAAGTATTCAAATTAACATCGTGAAAATATCGAATATTAGTATGAAAAATTAACACTCATTTGATTTGCAGTCATGAATCTTAATTATTAGTGATTATTCCTTTGAAAAGCAATGTATTTCTCTGAACAGCGTCATGACCCTGGTTCGAACGAGCACGTAATTGTAAAGTTTTACAATGATGTACCAGAGACCGTGTTCGTGTTGAGTATCAAGGAGCAATGTATTTGTATATTTTTGAATCGCTATTTAGCTGCCCCATGAGCAATGTAAAATTTTAAGGCTGTGTCCCTCAATTCTTAGGATGAGATCGATCCAGAAAAAGCGCGGATGTTTCTCATCCGCCGCCTCTAATTTTACATGTTTGTGGTGGGATCTGAAGTTCACAACGCTCTCTGGCGGAGCTGCTGCAAATCTACGGCTCTCCAGTCGTCCGGTAGATGGTGACTGAAGTCTCACGACAAACTTCAGAAGGGACATAACAATTAAGGGGAATAAATGAGCTATATGGTCTGGATTTGTATTTCATCGCAGATTAAGGGGTCCGATACGGACTGGATCCTTTTTTCTTGAAATACCTGAAAGAAGCGGAAAAATTTGATGCTATACAAGCTACGGTTCTTTCTCGGTGTTAAACATCTCATTTAGTTCTTAATTCATTACGGGGTGTCTGCATTTGCAATGATTTGCAGAATCACGTTACAGAATGTAGATAGAACTTTTTCTCGGATTCTTGTAGGTTTCAGAATTCCAAAAATAGAACCTCGCAACAAAGACCACTTTTTGATGAATGCCCACTTCAGACGCTGAAAATTGGAGCTGAAGGAGATCACCGATGCATCGTGTTGTGGTGCCCTGAAAAGTGGGCCACAACACGCAATTTTCAGGGGTCGACGAGATCGGGACTTATCAGCCATCATTTCACTTCTTTTCATCGAATGGCGGCCTGAGTTTTGAAATAACTCGTAATCTTGTAAAAATGTGTACAAATTCGTAATATACATTGTATGAAGCGAACCAATGCTGAAATTGGGTTTCGAGTATCAACATCCAACAGCGACACCGATGAATCATTTTCAGGACTCCATTTTTAGCGTCTGAACTTGGCTGAGGAGAAAAAAAATCGACTGATTTTGAAAATCGATTGAACCTTCAATTTTAAATTGGAAAATTCACAGACGTTTCTGATTTCTTCGATTATTTTCAAGTATTGACTATTGGATTGAAAATTTAATAAAGAATGATAATATTCTTTCATCACCAAGCAGTCATTTAAAGTCGAACCACTGACGAGGATTTCGAATTCTTTCATGAAATATGAAATCATTGGATTCCATTCAACGCTTAAAAAACTTAGAAATGAAAAACACATCGTATGATACTGATGACAGTTCTAAATTTTCACCACATGACGCTTTTAAAGCTTTTTGACTCTATTCAAAACGGATCTTCTTTCTATTTACCTGTGTACTCCTCTAGGTTCGTGTTAATGACCAATGACGCACTCACGAAAAAAGTTCGGTCTCATGAAAAGAAAGTACGGTGTTCAGTATCAGCCATATAGTGTTCGGCTCATGATTTTGTATGCCGCACATTCGGTTCATATGACCGAACTTTTTTTCAGCGTGGTAGACAATAAATCTATACTTAACAACCATTCTTACTTGTATTAGAACATGCACTTACGATACATTAAGCTCTGAGCTGATTATCTGCCATATGTCGGCAATATATCCCGTAAATCCATTCCTTAAAGAAATGTAAGGTGGCATCTGAGGAAATATAGAAATGAAAGTGAGTTATGAAAAAAGAAGGAAATGTTTTCCTCGGCACGCTGGAATAATGCTCCAGTCAATGGACTTTCAGATATGAGGAGAGTTACATCGCCAAAAGCTTGTTCCTTTATCAAAATATCAAGTTTTTAGTAACAAGTTCAATTAAACACATTTAAGAATTATTAAACATTATCTCTCTCACGGAAAGTTAGCAATTTATCAGATTCATAATTAACGTCATATTGAGTCGACCCTCCTCAACAACTTGTCCAGATAATGCCAGTATAAAAACTAAGGTAATTCTGAAGCGATCCATTCATAAAATACTTCATTATCTGGNGGGGGGGGGGGGGGGGTCTTAGCAGGGCCGGATTAGCGCTCAGGGGCCCGAGATGCAGGCGGGCATAAGGGGCCAGCACATTTGCGGATTGCATACTCTCTACATTGAAGGCATTTCACGGCTGCAACGCCTTGCTGATCTACATACATTTTTTACAATTATGGATCAGAAAGACACTGCCCCTCGAGCACGAAGGTATTGTCTTGGTGCGAAGACAAACTGAGCGTTTCACCCCGCATGTCAAAAGAGGCCATTAAACTATAACTTATCTCTGTTTATGACTTGCCGATGGAAATGCAGCGTCAAAAATCAGGACACGACGGGAGTTTTTACGATTGAACACCGTCACCTTCTGACCCACTGACCGGATGCGGATTTTTGTAGGGGGTGTAAACCTGTGTCACGAGTGTGTTGCAAAGAAGAGAAACGTGATTAAGGAAAAAAATCAGATTATCAGCAATACGTATTCTATGAACGGCCGCTAAGAATGCTCAATCCCGATGTCATCATGAAAGATGGCGACGGAATAAAAAAGGCGGGAGTATGACAAAGGTCAGAAAAACATGGTGAAGAGGTAGATCCTCAGCTTATGTTAAGATAGGATTTTTTATTTCATCCATTAGCTATAAAATTCGAATAGACAGAAAAGTTTAAAAAAACTGAGATAACTAGTGATGGATTCTTGGACAGCACGGGTTGTACTTACCTCGTCGACGATGACTGAAAATTTGCGCCCGAAAACTTCATCGATCGGCGCCAGCACGTCTTTCCCCGATGATCCACGTTGCAAAATGATTTTCTTCATCTCCTCCCAAGAGCGCAACTTTCGTGATTCTCTCATGATTCTGTTCATCTTCTGTTTGCCAATGCTTCACTTAAGCTTTACTTCCTCCTCTTCTTATTATTATAATTCTCCTTACCGGTTAACCCTCGCGTTAAGAATCACCGAAAGTTTTAGTATTCCTGGTTGAGAAAAGGGGGAAGAGTGGTGATATGTCTTCTTTTTACTTTGCACTAGAATCAAGTATAGAAAACAGTTTTCTCTAGCAGTAAAATATAATTAAGGAGTAAACATTTTCAAACCGGAAAATATATCGTCTTAGAGATCCGTGATTTGATATTTTCACCACCGTCGCTATAGTTATTGAGCTTCGGCTCGACGTGCAGGGCAATATGCGCTGTTCGGTGCAGTTAAGAAAGGTCAGGGGGCCTTCAAGTTTTTTTCAAGCAACACGCGCATCCATGGAGCACGAATAGTCGCATCCATCGCCTGCAAAACTAAGAAAACCGGAGAACTATTTGCTTGTGAAGGTGAAAATACCGATCGTGGTTCTCGATTTACGATGTTACAAATCTCCTGTCTCATTTCACGTTACAAAGCAGGGCGAATTATCTTAATTGCTCAACATGCCGTTCGTTTTTCTTCGTTTTATGACGATAGGTATCTTAAAAAAAAGAAATTCCAAAAAAGCTGAGCATAATGTTCATGTAAAATGGATGTATTTAATCCCTCAGTCAAATAATATTAATGCGTGCCTCTAGTGGTGAACCCAATTTAGGTGCGTAGAATCTTCTCAAAAGTCAAACTTGCTTAATTTTTTTCGCTAAATCCTAGCTGCACCTTCTGAAATAATTCGCATTGATTGTCTCTCTACCTCGATAGTAGCGTTAAGTTCTTCACTTGGCCAAGACTCGGAACAAATTTGAACACTCTGATAATATTATTCCTTCAAAATTTCACGAAGAACATGATTTTTGCTACGAAAAATATTGAGATTAACTCCAAACCAAGATTTAAATTTTTTCATTCAGCACTGGCAAAGTAAAATTTAGATTTCCGGCTCACAAGAAAATCTAGAGTCTATGTGAATCAAATATTGCATCAAAATTTTTCTGGAAATAAGCCTTCTTAGTCGAATAGTGTTTTTTCCTTACCCTGTGTGGTTGAGAGTATAAACAATGTGCACCAGCTGAGCAGAAACATCAATGAGAAGGTTGTCAACTTGCAGAGACTGTTGCATTAACACTTAGCATATTTGATTTAACTCAAGTATATTACGGTCTTTTTAATGAACAGAAAGTTGGAATTCACGCATTGAAAAACTTTCAAACATTGGCCAGTAGTTACTTTAAATAATTTTCGTTGCAAAAATTGTGTATACGTAAAACTTTCATGAGAAACCACGTATTATAATACATAAAGAGCCTTGTTAAAAATGGGTCGAAATTCGCCCCTTTTTAGGCCCTCGATTTTGCAAACGGGACTTGCGCCAAATTGTTGCATATGATGCCCCAAGTCTCAGGTAAAAATTTCAGCTTGAGTTAAAAAGCGGTTTCGGAGATACAGGGGGGTGAAGTGGGGGAGTTGAGCGGCTGACGTGCGCTCTTTCCGCGGCTGTTCCTCGCCAAATCTTCGTTTTGATGTCACCCATTACATGCTTTCTTATGCAATTTTTTGCGTACTTTCCATTTCTGACCTTAAAAATTACTTAAAACCACTTTTCAAGGCTTTAGGGGGTGAAAATAGGGGTTGAACGGCTGGCGGCGCGCTCTTCCGCGGCTGTTCCTCGCCTAATCATCGTTTAGTTGTCACCCATTACATGTTTTTCTATGTAATTTTCCGCGTACTTTTCATTTCTGACCTTGAAAATTACTTACAACCACTTTTGAAGGCGCTACGGGGTGAAGATGAGGGTTGAACGGCTGGCGGCGCGCTCTTTCCGCGGCTGTTCCTCGCCAAATCCTCGATTTGATGTCATCCATTACATGTTTTCTTATGTAATTTTCCACGTACTTTCCATTTCTGACCTCAAAAATTACTTAAAACCACTTTT